CCGGCAGACATTACTTTACCCAGCGGTCATTTATAGGTCATTTATATTCCATTAAAAGCACCCCTTTATTTTTGACATATTTTCGTTATAAAAAGGAATTTATTTGAGAAATGAAGCTCTTGTGAGTTTGAGTCTTAATATATTTTTTTGAAAACATTCAATAGGGTTTTGTGAAGTTCTTACATCTATATGTATATTTATTATGCTTCGAATGGTCATAATTCTATCATGAAATCGACCGTCTTCACGAATATGTATTGAGGATCGTGTATTTATGTATAATTATTGTAATAATATTTTGATGAAATTCCAAAAACACGTGAGTTTTAATTTTTGAAGCCTCATCTCATGACATTCATATGAGAGATGTTACGTCACTGGTGTTGGAGTAATGACGTAATGGACGATTTTTTCAAATACAAACAGGGGTCATGTGACACCTCGTTTGAAAGGTCTACTGATCGTCTATCCAACAGTCAAAATTTTGCATAAGAATATTGCAATTAAAATGGATTATCATTTGGTTAACTGAATCTTGCAGAGGTCTGCTACTGAGAATTGAACATCGAAGGGTCGTCTAGTTGAAAAAATACACAATAAAAAAAGTTCTGAACTCTAGTTTTTGGATTTTTTTTGGAAGTCGTCTTGTTTTGAAATGAATTTATTCCATACATTTGCATCATACTGTATGTCCCGATTGAGAATTCATCAATATTAGTGAATTTTCATGAGATGAATGTCTTGCTTGCGATAGTCACAATTCGATCATGAAGTCGATCATCTTTATGAAGATATCCTGAACATATGAGAATATGAGAACTGTTATATTTCGATGTTTCTGATGATTTTTAGGGAAGCAACATAATCGAACGTATATAAAATATATGCCAATATTTCATCTTGATGATTAGTATTATTTCGAAGCTACCTTTATTTTTGATGGAATCCTTCCTGTATATCATTCCAATCAAGAATTCAACATCATTGAAATGTCATGAGATGAATGTCTTGCTTAAGATAGTCAAAATTCGATTATGGCGTCGATCATCTTCATAAAGATATATTAAATATATTTTGTTTATTCGGATGATGTCAATAAAATTCAGAAGAAACAGAATTGGTCAAAACATTTATTATTTCTGCATGTATATTTCATCTCTGGAACTATTATCGTTCTTAAACTAGATTTATGATGAGAACATGCTTATCTCTCATTTCAATCATGATGAATTCAACATAAGTGAGAAATCATGGAATGTATGTCTTGCTTAGGATGGTCACAATTTGATCATGACATCGATTATCTCTATAAAGATATATTGAAGATCATGATATGAGGAATATTATATTTTGATATTTCTGATGATGTCGAAAAAACTTAAGGGAGGCATCATTATCATGTACAAGCCAATATTCCATCTTGATGATCATTATCGTTCAAAAGCTATATTTATGAAGGCACCCTTCTTGTATATTATATCAATCGAGAATTCAACATTAATAAACTATCATGAATAGAATGTCTGGTTTAAGATGGACACAACTTGATCATGACGTCGATCATCTTCATAAAAATATATTGAAGATCATGAGAATGAAAATATTTTGGTGTTTCGGAAGTTAATGATGGAAACTTAATTATTCCTTGATTTGATCAAAAATTGAATACCTATAACTGAAATATTATGGGATTATTGTCTGTCACGACTCTATCATGAAGACTGTATCATCCCCATGGAGATGTATCGAAGAAAATAACGTTGGGTGGGTAACATTGTTGAATGTTCATGTTCTCACATGTCATTTCAATCAAAAATTCAACATTAGTGAAATGTCATGAGATGGAAATCTTGCTTAAGATGGTCACAATTCGATCATGATCTGGATCATCTTCATAATAATATATTGATGATCATCACATGGGAAATATAAAAGTTTGGTGTTTCGGATTGTGTCAAAAAAATGTTGAAGGCGCAAAATCATTAAGTTTATATATAATTTGTGCATATATTCCATCCAAGGGATAACCATCGTTTCAAAGCTATATTTATGATGAGAACTTCCTTATTCATTATTTCAATCAATAATTCAATATTAGTAGAATATCAAAAGATGAATGTCTGGTTCAAGAGGGTCACGACTTGATCATGAAGACTATCATCCCCATGAAGATGTTTCGAAGATCATAATATGAGGAATGTAGTATTTCGGTATTTTGGATGATGTCAAAATAACCTTGGGTGGGCAACATTGTAATATGTATATGAAATATAAGCAAATATTTGATCTTGAGGATTATTATCGTTCTAAAGCTATATAGCTATCATGACACAATTCTTATATATCATTTCAATCAAAAATTCAACATCAGTGAAATGTCATGAGATGGATGTCTTGCTTAGGATGGTCAAAATTCGATAATGATTAAGAGCATCTTCATAATAATATATTAAAGATCATCACGTGGGAAATATAATATTTTGGTGTTTCGGATTGTGTCAAAAAAATGTTGGAGGCGCGAAATTAGTAAGTTTATATATAATTTATGCATATATTCCATCTAGAGGATAATCATCGTTTCGAAGCTATATTTATGATAGAAACTTCCTTATTCATTATTTCAATAAAAAATCCAATATTAGTTAAATATCATAAGATGAATGTCTGGGTATAGATTGTCACGACTTGATCATGAATACTATCATCCCCATGAAGATGAATCGAAGATCATTATATGAGAAATGTTATATTTCGGTTTTCCAAAATGATTTCAAAATAACGATAGGTGGGCAACATTCTAATATGTTTATTAAATATATGCAAATATTTGATCCCAGGGATTATTATCGTTCTAAAGCTATAGCTATCATGACACTATTCTAATATATCAATTCAATCAAAAATTCAACATCAGTGAAATGTTATGAGATAGATGTCTTGCTTGAGATGGTCACAATACGATCATGACGTCGAGCATCTTCATGAAAATGTATTGAAGATCATTACATGAGAAATATTATATTTCAGTGTTTTGAATGGTGTCAAAAGAATGTTGAAAGTACAAAATTAGTAAGTTTATGTATAATATATGCATATTTTTCATCCAAGGGATGATCATCGTTCTTCAGCTAAATCCCTGATGGAAACATCATCATTCATTATTTCGATCAGAATTTCAACATTGGTGAAATATTATGAGATGCATGTCTCGCTCAAGATGGTCATTATTTGATCATCAAATACTATCATTCTCATAAGGATTCATTGAAGATTATAATATGAAGAATGTAATATTCCGGTTTTTTGGATGATGTCAAAATAACGTGAGGTGGGCAACTTTGTTGAATATATATAAAAAAATATGCAAATATTTCATTTTGATGATTATCATCGTTCTTGAGCTATAGTTATGATGGAACCATTATTATATATCATTTCAATCAAAAATTCAACATCAGTAAAATGTCATGAGATTGATGTTCTGCTCAAGATGGTCAAGTTTTGATCATGGAGACTATCATCCCCATATGGATGTATTGAAGATCATAATATGAGAAATGTAATATCTCGGTATCTTGGATGATGTGAAAAAAACGTTAGTAGGGCAATGTTCGTGAACTTATATATGATATTCGCATATTTTTGATCTTGAGAATCATCATCATTCTGAAAATATATTCATGATTGAAATCATCTTACATATCATTTCAATCAACAATAAGATATCAATAAGTTATCATGAGACAAACGTCTTGTATAGGATGGTCACGGTTTAGTATCAATTGAGTGATACATATGACCAATTGTTGCTATACCAATTAATTGACTTATTTCAACGTCATATACGAGACGTCTGAAGAAAACCGTAATATGATTGAAATATGTAATGTTGAATGTTTACCGGGTAACCTCAAAAAATTCAAGAAGAACACCAATTCCTAAATCATTTTCCTTGGTTCTCATGATATTCTCTGTTCATTACAGGATATCCCTCTTCGTGGAAACTAGAACATAAAAAAAACTTGAGCCCAATTCAGGAGTCTATGGAGGTGAAAAAATATCAAATGCTGGTGCCAATGCCAATAGTCATAATATCGTTGGTGAATATTCTTTAAAAATTCTCAGCAAACATTTCCACCAACGCCTATCGTCATAATATCATCAGTATTCTTCTTATAATCTTCACGTGCAATGTCTACCAATGATATAATAGGCATTGGCACCAATATTTAAAACTATTTCACCTCCGCCGACTCTCAAATTGTGCTGAATATAGACTTTCTCAATTCCGAACGATGTCCCCTTGAATGATACACATCATCAAAAGTGTGGAGATGACTTTGAGCTGTCCTGCTTCCTTTTTATCACTATATATTCCAAGAAGATGATATTCTGGATGAAAAAGTATGCTTTAATGAGTCGAAAATTCCTAACTTTTCACATCTAGCTTGCATGCCCACATTTTGATTGAGTGCGATTAGTAATTTCCTACTCAAATTCGAATTATTTGATGAATTGGAAATTGTATCAATTCATAAACAAGAGCTTCTTATTATGCATTCCGCTTTCATTATTAGTATTAGTATGGACAATTCTTATACATGAAATATATCTACATGGAATATATCTACATGAAATAAACTTGACATGGTTGGGAATAACAAATGAATGAATCAGTTCAATATAAAGATCACTGGCTACCATAAGATATTGTCAATGAGGAGAATTTTCGCATGTTCTTTCACAGAACAGAAAATATGATATCTTTCGCCTATTAACTAGGTTATAATTTGAAACGACAATTCATAAACGACTTATAGAAACTGAAAATTTATAATTTCTCAAGGTAGCAAAAATGCATCTCATGATGGGAAATTTTGACGATAGAAATAAAATAACTTCATTGGTTCCGAACTGTTATCATTTATTCATCAACACAATATTTATTGACGATAATTTATGTTTCAATACTGATAACGAAAAATCAATGGCACTGTGGATCACACCCTGACATTACAGTATTGATTTGCTTCCCTCGATCCAACCACAAGCAGATGTCCAATGTTGATCATCAGGTCAACTATGTAAAATTGCAATGTACCTCTAGTAGTGGAATCGAATAAAGCAACCTCATTCCAATAGATTCTGTTGCCGCCCTTAACAAGAGAGCACGAAATATCACAGCGATCAGCTAGAGCTTTGAAAAGGAGTGCTCTTTCACAATGGAATCCTATCCGCAGGAAACCAATTGGTATCATGTTAGTACCTAACTTGAACTTGAGACTTTCGATGTGGAATTTGTAAGTATGATTTTTTTGTGGCATCGTAGCATCCTCACAAGGACCACAGAGTAGAGTATCAACGTACCCAGCTAGGATGCTGATTTTATTTTCCAAAGATGTTTCGTTGGCTAAAAGCTTGTTTATGTGATTAATGAATCTCGGCAGGTAAGGGTCAGGAGATAACTCTCCATAATTTATATCAAATGGGTTATTGTATGAGCACATAAATGAAAATGATTTATTACTGAAACTTGACGAACGCTTATTCAACGATTCTCTCGATGACACTGATACTTCTTGTGATGCATGGCTCTCACTTGATGCTGCTTCGATAACTTCATAAGTGTAGTCAACAACGTAAATTGTGAGGATTGTGGACATCTTCAAAGCTTCGAGTATCTCTAGAAACGGAAAAGGTGCCGTCCATCTTCCATTCATCAAGTAAAATTTGTTTCTTAATCTGTCTGTGATTTCGATCCGACCAGTTTCAAAAAATTTCAGGGGCAAGTGAAGATTGTAGGTGAGATTGAGGATAGTATCTATCAGAGGCATACCTGCTTTGACTTTTTCTGGAAACTGTTTCAAAGCAACTATCAAGTCATTTCTTATGAAATCGGTAATGAGATTTTCTTCAATCATACTGCAATGGATGAAAACAAGGATATTCTTGATGACTTTCGGGTTGACAGAAGTTCTCAATTCTTTAATAATGATGAGGGGTCCATAGGCAGATGAAAAATATCTGAAAAAATTCTTATTCTCGATGAAATAGGTGAGAATTTCAGTTGATAAAATTTTCAGCTCTTCTGGACCGATTTCAACCAATTTCAATAGTTCCCCGAAAAATTTCTCGTTGATAATACTTTTCTGGTAGAGAGGGTGTACAGCAAATTTGTATAACATTTCTAAGACTCTCAGATAACTATCTTGTGATAAACCCTTGGTTCCTTTCTTGAAGTAATCTAGAAGAATATTTTGAAATCCCAGCGAGTTCAAAAGATCTATGGTTTTCAATGACCTTCTCATGAAATCAGAAATAGTTCTGAGAGCTATTTCATTACCTGGGTCTAGATCATCCTTTCTTTCCAGTATTCCAACAATCGTTTTGATAACAACTGGGGTGATCATATGTTCACAACAATATTTATGCACACCCATATTAGATATAGCAATACAAGTTTTATTCAGAATGCATTTATCCGTGCTCCTCAGGAAAAATAATATTGAGTCTTCAACAGATAGATCGAAAAGTGTTTGTTTGATATGTGGTATCTGTGACAAATTTTCGAAAAGATTGATGCATGATAAGAGATATTCAGGGTCACAAGTTTTTGTCCATCGACAAAAATCCAAGAATTCTAGTGATTCAATGAAGTAACAGGAAGTTTCTTCACAATTCATGCAGTTCAATATGATGGTGAAGGCATCTTGATGATACAATCTCATCTCTGGATCCATTATCACTACCAACATTCTTTCTACGAGTTTCGCATGCTTGAAGAGTTTCTGAAATACTTCTAAAGTGAAAGAAGTAATTCTGATGAGGACTTTGAATGCCAGATCTGTAATCTTATGATCTGGATTATCTAGGAGACCAAGTAATACAGAAATTTCGAAATTTTTAACCATGGGTAAAGCACTGACTGCTGCAGGGGCATTGAGGAGAACGTAAAAGAATTCAAGGGTGGATTGAAGGAGACTGAGAGTTTTTGTCGTTTTCAAAGTGGTCAGAACAGGCGTAAAGAGATCTGCTTCAAATATGAGAGAAGTGATTCTACAGGAAGCAGCAAGCTTCGAAAGGATTGCTATGCAGAATTCCTTAACATGTAGGTCACTATGATTCATGTAAAGTCTTGATATTTCTAGAATCTTATCATCGTATTTCACTTGATCCAACGCTGATAGAACATCATCGAGTGATAAAAGTATATTCAGAAGCCTCAATGATAATCGCAAAATACATACATTCTTGTTGAAGAGATTCAATAACTTTTCCATCAATCCTTTCTGTTGGAGATAAGTTAAATTGTTGAGTTTGATATCAGCATACTTTGAAAGGAATAATAATGATTCCAATAGTATATCGTATTCCGGGCTATCTAAAATTGCTATGGAAGTATCCACTTGTCTGGTGAGATAGGTTTTTTCTTTCATGTCATTTGGTAACTTGGTATCTATCTTATTGGATTTCTTATTGACTTTCTCAGGGGCCTTCGACATCTTCAGCAGATTTACTAGGAATAATAGTCACTATACGTCCAGTTGCTATCTCACATTGGGTAATTTGATTCTAATTATCATATCTTCTGCCGAAATGTCATCTACTCAATTTGATGGAACGAATTGACAATTCAATAAACGTCACCCCGATTCATATGAAGAAAGACAGTGTGATCATCTGATATAATACCATGAGTACTATCAAAAGTAATTCTATCAGATATCAACGAAATTCAGAGCAATTCGATCGAGCTCAAGATTTCTGGCAGAATTTTCGATAGTATTGTGGACCTAAATGATACTGTTATCTCCATGCCATACTAGGTGACAAGATTTTGTTTCATTCAAATCCGTAGTTGCTGTTATAACGAGGTCTCACCGGCTCGAGAGGAAAATGCAGGGTACATACTATCAGGGCACACTATTCTGATTGCTTTTCATATCGCAGGAGATGACAGTTTCATACACATCGTGTAATTGTCAATTGAAAATTCAAGAACGAAAATGTACAGAGCCATTAAAACTTGACGTCTTCACCTCTGTAAACATAGCATATTTGCTTTCGACGATATCAAATGAGTCCACATGAAAAACGATTCATGATGAGAATCTGAATATACTTATATCTTCAGATGCTCCGCTATATGGACGGTAATATCAATATTATATAACCATTGAGAGGATCAGATCCTTCCGTCTGGAATCTTTCACCAATATTCATGTTATCTCTTGAAATTCGGGAATTATATTTCATTGTTATTAGCAAAAAGAAGCAGTTGCGATCCATACTCATATAAAATGTCACTTTTTCTATATACAGAGTACATGGTGAGTATACTGCTCAGTACTAAAAATGGTTAATGATTCCACGAGAAATTTCAAAAAGATTGAGAACAATACAATGACTAATTGTACAACCTAGAACATTCTATCAAGATACGAAAAACGAATGATCAGAGTAATTTCATATTGAGATCTATCGAACACTGATTGTCTAAATTCATATAATCTATCAACACTGACTTTCATTTGAAATTATGTTCGATTATTCTTGAATGAGACAATTCGTCGAATGTGGAATGAATCGAGAATTCGATAGCAAGAAATCAGCAGGTAGCTGTGCATTGAGCAAAATTTCAATGATGGTGATTGAGAAGTCATCGTTGATGAATCACATGAGTTAATGAATCTTTCAAGTTCCATCATATATATGTTTTTTCATTATCTGTGAATTAATGAAATGATACTATATTATTTTATCCTGAAGACCATGAATACTAGTTGACCAATGTATTGTGCATTGTCTATCGAGAGTTTAACTCAAGAGGAGACAAGTTTCGCACATCAAGTGTATTTATCATCAGCCAAATTGGAAAATGGTTCTACAAATGAATAAATCTGCTAGTCCTATTCTAGGCTATAGGAAGCAGAACAGTATACTCACATAGAGATGAAATGTAACAGTTTTTTTATCGCTTGGAGCTTACGAAAGGAAATCCCTATAATGTTCAAAGAATAACATAGTGACTTCCTAGGAAGGAAATAAGCAGGAGGTAGGGATTGGAATTTTTTTTTAATATCTGGGGATTATAATATGTTGTTGGAAATACTTCCTTAGGCAATTAATTCAAGAGCCTAGCCGTTTTATGGATGAAGGAGTTTTGATAAAGTGCTGTTCGACATCTTTCGAAGTTGACAACGAAAGGATGTACTGACTGAGCTTGTCTTGTTCGTTCGACTGATATTGCTAGTGGAGGGATGATATCAGAGATTTCCGAAGAACATTTCCCGTGGAAGTATCGATAGACAAGTGAAAGGTCGCCGAACTTTCAACGGTATTCCAATGATGTCAAAGAGTGAGTGAGTGTGGCGTCACCCACTAGGAGAATGGCTCTCCTCTGGATGGAATCTGAGAGCATCAGCGTATGTTTCGGTGCTGAACTCCATATGTGGAAACAGTATTCTAGAACAGGCCGTATCTGAGCTCTGTAGATCATGAGAAGCTGTTGAGGTGTGAAGTAGCTTCTCGCACGGTTCAAGAATCTAAGTTTTTTGAAGCAGCTTTCGCGATGGATCTGACGTAGTATTACATTACAGGAGTTGATGTTCAATATCGTCTCCTTGGCTCCTTGATGCCTAACAGGATATGAAACGTTGTAGAGATTATTTCAAGTTCATTCTCACACACCATTTCACTTCACTCTCATATACAGGGTGTCCCAAAATTGCTGGGACACAGAGCCACCACGTTTAGAGGAGGTCAAAATTGGACCCAATTTACTTATGTGCCAAAATGTACCGTTTGTCCGTGAGAAAGGTTCAAAGTTCACATGAAAAAACATATTTTTGTACGCTGTTCAGAAATAAGTGAAACGAATTTGATGAAATTTGGCAATAGTGTATTTCAGAGGATTCCTTTCGAATATCGGAGAAACCTTATAGAAATTGTGTAATGGTTAAAACCACCTGTTACATGTTTTTCACATCCTGTATAAAATAGGGATTTCTAGATGTACATTATGACATGAGAACTGGAAGATAAAAGGAGCATCGGTTGTTATGTATATTACGATAGTTACGGTTATGTAATAAAAATTATTGAGATCCGAATTGGATTTTCATTCTCACGGAAGTTTCATACTACATACACAATAGTTTGTCGACGAGGATTTGAAAAGAAGCACGTTTACGCATCCTGAACTACACCTACAGAGAATTACAGCCATGGCAGAGTTATTAGTACAAACTTCTTTCAACATTGAACCATTTGAACCGAGTACCATGGAGTTCAGAAGATGGTTGCAGCGATTGGAAGGAGCATTCACGGTATTCAAAGTTACCGAGGATTTACGTGTACCATATCTTTTACACTACATTGGTTCCAAATCATTCGAGATAATATGTAATAAAGTCTCACCCGAGGATCCATACCAGAAGTCTTTCAACGAGTTGATTGAGAAAATGGAGCAATTCTATTCACCAAAACCATTAGAAATAGCAGAAAATTTCCGATTCTACCAGAGAAAGCAGCAGAATGGCGAGAGTTTACAAGAATATGCAGCGGCGTTACAAAAGATGAGTATTCACTGTAATTTTGGGAATTACCTGAAAACTGCACTTCGGAATCAATTTGTATTTGGTCTCTCGAGCAGAAGAATTCAAGCGAGACTTCTCGAATCCATTGATTTGAATTTTGACAAGGCTGTCAAAATAGCTACGAGTATGGAGCTGTCAGAGAAAGACGCAATTCAACTACACGGTGGCCCAAATAATTCTCTTGGTTATTTAGGGTCAACTTCAAGAGATTCGAAGCCGACACATCATTTCAAGAACAGCAGAGATTCAATTAATTCAAATAAAATTTCAAATTTTTCCAGAAATTCAAATACTGTTAAATGTTTCAGGTGTGGTGGTCATTTCGCTACAAAATGTGAATTGGATAAAAATATTCAATGTAAAGGATGTGGAGTGAAGGGTCATCTACAGAAGGTTTGTTTTAGGAAGACTACCCATACAAATTCAGTTGAGGAAATACTTAATTCAACCTCAGTAAGTACATCAAATTCAGAATCAGATGAAAATATCATTACACAAATTGAACATCGACAATTCAGAGATAAATATCCTATTGACCTGAAAGTAAATGATGTGGATGTTACATTCGAAGTCGATACAGGTGCAGCTGTCACTTTGACAAGTAAATTTTTTTTCATTTCAATTTTTCCAAATATTCCAATTTTCGAAACAGATTTGGAGTTAATTACGTATTGCAATAACAATTTGGAAGTTTTGGGATTTTCTACAGTAACTGTTCAATATAATGAAAAATATTTCAATTTGAACATTTATTCAACCAATATTGATCGACAATCATTATTGGGGAGAGAATGGATTGGACAATTAGGTTTAGATTTCAATAATTTGAACATGATTACACCTACATGTAGACAGCAAAAATTAGATTCACTTTTTGAAAAATACAAACTCATTTTTGAACCAGGTTTATCAAAAATCGATGGAATTCAAGCCAAATTAACTTTCAAACCGAATACGAAACCGGTTTTTTTAAGATCTCGTACAGTACCTTTCAAAATTTTAGATTTAGTTGAGCAGGAAATAAATAATCTTGAAAAAGCAGGTATTCTAGAAAAAGTAAACACATCAGACTGGGCTACACCTGTTGTACCTGTCTTAAAATCAAATAATACAGTTCGCCCCTGTGGAGATTTTAGCGTTACAATAAACCCGCAATTACTTGTTGATGATCATCCCTTACCTACCATTGATGAGCTTTTTGCATCAATGGCAGGTGGAACAACTTTTTCAAAAATAGATCTGAGGCAAGCATACTTACAACTTGAAGTCAGACCAGAAGATAGGCATTTCTTAACGATCAATACACATAAAGGACTATATCAATGTAATAGACTTCTTTACGGCATTGCATCAGCTCCTGCAATTTGGCAGAGAGAAATTGAAAATATTTTAAAAGGTATACCAGGTGTTACTGTATTTTTAGATGACATCAAAATCACAGGATCTACAGATCAAATACATTTTGATAGGCTTGAAATGGTTTTCAAACGTTTGCAACAGTACAATATAAGAATAAACATTGAAAAAAGTGAATTTTTCAAAGAAAAAATTGACTATTGCGGTTATGTTATTGACAAATTCGGAATTCATAAATCACAAAAGAAAATAGATGCTATAAATAACATGCCGCGACCTACAAATACAACTGAACTAAGATCATTCATTGGAATGATTAATTACTATAGTCGATTCATTGAAAAATTGAGTTCGATTCTGTATCCTCTGAATAGACTGTTGTGCAAAAATGTTCCTTTTACATGGTCCGAGGAATGTGAATGTGCATTTTTGGAAGCTAAGGAAGCTTTTCAAAGCAAAGAATTTTTGGTGCATTACGATACACAACTTCCTCTAGTTTTATCCACAGATGCTAGTTCATATGGGGTTGGATGTGTTTTGTCACATAT